TTCAATAATAAATTATTTTATATAATTAAAAAACAAAATTTGAGCATAGACAGTTTAACTATCTGCTAACCAAGGTTTTCAAACAATTTATTTTAACCAATTTTATTAATTGTAACAAATGTCTGTAGTTTTTATTTGTTTTTCTCGATTATTTTAAAAGCACAGAGAAATCTCTATCTTTAACCAACCAAAGTATCAATAAAACCCAACTTCGTACAAGAAACTTCGCTTGAAGTTAATGATCGAAGCATTTTTTCTTTTTTAATAATTGTATAGTGATTAGTAATTATTGATTAGTGGGTGATAATGATTATACCATCAAATTTCGTAAAATTGTTCTTGTTGAAATAATATTGTTTACGTAATAATAAAGGCTGCAAAAATTAATATTTGGTACTTATAATATTAAAATATTATTATTAATTTATCTTAATATTTTAAAAAACAAAAACAAAATAATTCTGTGAAAATTGAGTTATGAAAATTCTGAAAATTACGTACTAATATGAAGCCGATTCGTCGAAAAATTACAATAAAATTACTAAATTTCTAACTTTAAATTGATTAACTTATCGCGAATACTTGTATAATAAACGAAGGTTTTCGATTTTTTAATTTTTAAATAATAGATTATAAAATTAGCCTTTTTTATTTATGTTTCTATTTTTTGATTTCGATTTATAGACACGTCAAACATTTGGGGATGATATGATTAAATATTAGATTCAAATCGGTCTAAATCTGTCAACACGTCTATCTAAATAATACAAAAATAGCGCATGGTAATATTATATTGATAAATTCTAAAGCAGTGGCTCACTCCGACACGTCGAATAAAGTTTAAAATACATTTCCAAAGTGCACTGAAGTGTACTTTTTTTAACATTCCTGTTAGAGACCAATCTCTTATTCTCTTCACTTCTCTTCGTCATCATTAGCATCAGTGTTAAGATTTCGATGCACATTGATTTTTTAGTTACACATTGTACGTTTTATAGCATAGACACGTCATATCTTTTATGTATTTTTGAATCGGAATAAAATGTTTTAAATTCTTTGGCGATTTCTTAATTATTATTACCTATTTAAACCATCTATGAACATATTTGTAATTTTATATATTTTGTTGACCATTATGTTTTGTTTTTATGGTATTTTATTTTTTCGTTTATCGTTTAAAAATTTCAATGGTTTTTTTTTTCATGTCGTAACGTTCATACAAGCACTTATTTTAAGTACCTATGTTCCTAGGTACTTACTAAGTACTATTAATATAGATAGTAAATCAAACTCACCTTAAACGTTTATATTTTTAAAATAATTTTCGATTTATTATCATACAAAAAAATATACATGTAATACATAAATATTTAAAACGAGGTATTAAAGGCGTTACGGTCAAATGAAAAATGTAACCAACCGAAAATATATCGACCACTAGTTTTACGGAGTCTAAATATTAACAACCACGGTGTAGGCACTTTCATTCGTCGTCCGGCGTGGTGTATATGCAATTTCGGTACATCGGTGTACAGGTTGTTTTCGAACGCTACCGCGTGCCGCCTTGTACGAAAAGAGTAATACGGTTAGGTATTGTATTCGTATTCCGTTAGAATAATAAAATAAGACATACATAATAATATAGATACATAGAATAAATAGAACGCGATGATTTAATATTGACACTGATTTATAACTAACGATGAATTAAAAAAAAAAAAATGAATTATCATTGATTATTATGGTACTAACTACTAACTAATCTGGCTATAATATATTATTATGTAAATAGATTTATTAAAATAATATGTTATCATTAGGGCCCGGATTTATATGTTTTTTTTTCTGAATAGTCCAAAAAATAGCTAAGCAAGTCAAAAGTTTGATTTGTAGTCAAATAGATCCTTAATATAAAGTCTTGTTTTGCTTATTATGTCATTTTTTTACATGACGTGCTGCATATTTCTGTATTTTACGATTTTTTTTATCGCATATATACGGGTTTTAAATGCATAATATGTAATGTTTTGCTCATTTTAATTAAAATAACGTATTTATGGTGATATTTATAGCCCATGTAATTTGACCAAGTCGTCTTCTTATCTTATCTGAGACCTATCGGGTAATCTGTTATTGAGTAGATTTTAGTGAATCATACAAATCGTCGTGTTTGTCGTGATCCGTGTGTGCATAACTTTTATTCAATTTTATTTATTTATACTTAATGAAAATAAAAGACATTTTTTAATCGTTTTTTTTTTTTTTGCATATTTGAATGATAATCAGTACATAAATGCATGCATATTTAGTAGACGTCTTTAGTACCTACATATAATTTCGGGCCCTAGTTCTCATAATATATCTGCTACTAGTGTTTCAAAATGATCAATTGATATATTTCGCTAAGAATGTAATATGATCAATATATTTATCAAGTACAAAGTTGATATAGATACAATTATATTTGTGTATTAACTTTGATCGAGGTAGATCAGCTAGTTGGATAGTAAAGATTATAAAATAATTTGTCGTAGAACAGATGTTTACGATAAGATGAAAATTTCATAAACATTAATTACCTAATACATCTATGTATAATTACATAGTAATTAATTTATGCTATTATTTTTACATTTTATTTACAATTTTTAATACCTTTATAGGGATTATATTATTTAAATCTTAATATAATATAAATAATCCAGATATACGTGATGGATAAATGTATTACCCATATTTTCTGGACCACACCTGTTCATTACATTTATTTATTTAAATATATTATTTTTTTCATACAACATTATATTAATATAATTTTAATAATTGTTTTTCTGATTCATTTATCATAGTGTAAAATATAAAATATGTTAAATTTATTGTTTAAATTATTCACACACTAAGAAAAAATTATGAAACAAAAATGCAGTTTGGTATCCATTCTTATTATTCAATTTTTTAATTTTTTTTAATGGAAGTTTGAGCACTAAATCTGAAAGAATTTTAGTTTTTTTTGGAAGTTTATCAAGACATTTAATTTTTTTTTATCAATTATACTATATGCTATGAAATACTAATATATGTAATAAATAGGTCTTATGAAGCTTTCATGATTTACTTGGGAAAAATGTATATAAATATATTTTGATCATCCAGACATATAACTTTTAAATACATGAATATTTTAAACACAGGAAACATGTATGATTTTTAAAACATAATACTCAAAAATATAATATTAATTAATGAGCATAATAAATATATTTATTCAAACAACAAATACACAGCATAAGTAAAAAAATACATTCAAAATTAGATATTAACATTTTGTCATGTCATATTATATCAGGTATCATTAAATGCATAAAAGTTTTTGTGCTATGGTAGATATAGGTTAACAAAAATATTTATTTTTTAAATAAATATAAATTTAGATTTTAAATTCAATATTTTAGTACAATAGTAATAAATAAATACAAATTATTCAAGTTACAAATAAATTTTCATTTCAATTAAATACATTTTAGCAAATCATTTAGGCTTTACGCTAATATAGGTATAAAATAAGAAAAAAAATATATAGCAGTGTAATATTTATTAAAATAAAAATAGTAATTGTTAGGTGGGTTAAAATAATAAACACAACTAATAAATGGTTAATTAATATTAATTTTTTTACAATATTTGATAATAAGACTAAAATTTTTATTTTTTGTTTGACAAATAAATATGGTAATTAAAATAAGTTATTTGGCAATAAAAACATGTCTTCATTAAACTTTAAGAAAAATTTGGCAAAAGTAACTTTAAAACATTTGGTAAACAACATTGACTAGTATTTACTGAAATATTTTCAATAATCAATATCAATTATAGCTAAAATAATTTTATGCTATTATTAACATGGACATATAGTACAATACATTTACAAAAGAGTATTTCTCAGCAACGTGTTACATACGAAATGGTGGTCGTTTAGTGGGTATATTACTAGCATTGCCATCGCCCAAAAATCTATTTATAGAATATTGAATCATTACAACAGTTGTGGAGCGTAAATTTATATATTAATATTAAAGAATTATACTGAAATATAATCATAACAAACTACTTACAGTTAAAAATGTTAGCAGAGAGCTCATATGACAACAGTCAGTATTGTGGTAGAAGAAGGGATGTTATATGGCGAAATCTGATGAATGCACGAAGCTGCCCAAATGTACTCTTAACGTAAATAGAATATATTTTATTGTATATTATAAATTCAACAATGAAAAAAACATTTACTTTAAAAATATTAAAATTAATTAATAAACAAAATATAAATATGTAATTATTTTATGAAAATTTCAAAAACGTTAAATATAACAAAAATAAAATACTTTAATGTATTTTTAATATTAGTAAAATAGTGAACTCAAAACTTAAATATTTATAAAAACGTAATTAAGAGTTGAATTAATTGCCAGTTATGTATATAGCTTTAAATTCTATTTTTTCTTAAAACAATAATACTAAACATTTGTTCATAAAGCCATAGAATCGGTAGGAAAAAAAGTTAATATTTTTATCTCAATCAAATGATACAACAAAAAAATGAAAATAAATCTAAATACATAAAGTTCATGAATTTCTACAAAAAATAAGAATCACTTAATTTACTTTTTAATTTTGAACTCTTAGCTATTTAATACCTAACTTTTTATATAACAATAAAGGAGTGTGTTCAAATTGAACTGGAAAAAATTTGATCGCACCTGAAATTAATTTTTTATAACATAGAGTATTTAAGTACCACATTATTCAAACTGTAGTGAAGCACAAATTTAAAAACAAATATGAGATTATGGCATTTTTTTTTTTTACAAAAATAAGGATTATGATAGTTTTCAAAGTGTATTTCACAAATTATAATATATATGAGAATAATATATATATTTTTTATCAGTGAAATTAAAAATTAAAATATTAAGATTTTAAATTTCGATATTTAAAAAAAATATATAAAAATAGTAATGAATATAACTATATAACTACTGTTTTAATTATAAAGTTATACATTATACATGATGAAAGATAACAAAGTTAACAAAGTCCAATGCCATCAGTTTCTGCATTTCCTCGCTTTTCATAAAACATGACATCCTAAAATAAACATGAGTTAATAATATTCAAGAAAATTCAAAGATATTAGTTTACATTTAACTTACTATCAAAAAACAAGCTCCTAGCATAACAGCTTTCATACGAACATCAAGATCCATAGGAAAAGTAATACCAAAGAAATCAGCATCAGTAAATACTTCTCTTAAAAGTCCAGACCATTGTTTGGATATACGGCCAACTACAGTGGTTTTGTCCTTAGATAATATCTGAAAGCCATTATTATTATGTGACAAAAATTCTTAAACTTTGTCTTTGCGTATAAACAAAATATTTAGTTAACTTAATTAAAAGCTTTAAAAATTACTTTAAATTCAACATCTCCTCCACACATACTATATCGACATATTGGGCCTTCAATTTTTAATACTTCTTCATTAGCTGCATTACGAATGGTAAATATTGGTGTTAAAATTGACCAATCTTGTTCAACGGATCCAACCAAACACCCAGGTGGTGAAAATACTTCAATTTTCTGTTATACAATTTTAAATAAATTAAAAATCATACATAAAACATGAGATCCCACCATCGTTCATTAAATAAAAAAAAAAAAAACAACAACAACAACAACAAAATAACAACAGAGAACTGGTTTTAAGTAAATATTTCGATTTTTAAAAGTTTACAAGGATTTTTTTTTTATTTTAAACACTTCTCTCTTTTTTTTTTTAAATACAAACTAGACCAGAAACTACAATCAAAATATAAAATTGAAGCTTCTTATTGTTTCTAAAGTATTATCAAATATTCAGTATCCTAAAATAGAAAAAAAAACTGAAAAATAAGCTTTATTGCAGATGATCATAATTTAGAATAGAAATTAGATTATAAATTATTTAGAAGAAATAAATTGGAGACATAAGTTTTAAATGCACTTTAGAATTAAATATATGATAAACTCAATGTACTTAAGACACATTTATTGAATCTAATATCCTGAAATTGGATCATTCCCGTGCTGCCCATTTATAAAAGGGTCTAAACATTAAAATTAATAAAAAAAAATATAACATTTTTATTAGTATAAGATATGAACAACAAATATTTGACACATTTTGATTTTATTCAAGTCATTTATTCATTAAACAAAGCTTTATATTTTTATATCCAATCATTATTGTTATGGCACATAGAATAATAGTAAATAATAATAAAACAAAATATAAACTCAACTTTTTCCACATACACAGAGCTATTTAAATTGTTTTAAAAAACATAAAGCAGTTTTGTTTTAACTTTCAGGTCTATGTGTCGAACTAACTTTATAACTAAATAATTCCAGTATTTATTTTTAATATAACATATTATTTTACCTGTAAACAACAAGGAAAAAAGCAGGATTGACATGCTAAAGGCCTTGATAAATGGATAATTTCATTTTTAAAATTGTCCAAAATTTTCATTTCAAATGGCCGTATTGGCCCACAGCAATTTCGTGTACAACAATCATTATCTTCAACAGCATAAAACACTTTTTGACCAGCGCTATTTTTAATTGTATACTTGTTATTGGTCTCAAATCCCAATAGAGCTAAAATAACATATTACAAATAACCATAATTAATATAAAATATTAAATTTTCAATTGGTACACAATTATAGCCTATACAACATTTATAATATTTATAAGTTACAATGATTCAAATACTATTGAAAATATTGTACAAATATAATTATTTAAAACCAATAGTTTCTATTAATTGTTTTAAATTCAAAGACTTAAATAGTAAGTGCTAATACATTTATTTTACTTTTTACCTTCTAAAACTTCCACTTGTTGTTTAACAAGTAACTGATTAATTGTTGAAAGATACTGAAGTCCATTTGGACAGTTTTGTGGTATAGATTGAGGAATTGGCATCCAACCATCTGTTAAATTATAAGATTTAAATTTTTAAAATAATAAACTACTGATTTATATTAAGATTAAAACTATATTTATTAGAAAATTCACGGATATACGTATTACCTAAATAAGTTGTTTTGAAACTAATCCTAAATAACTTTTAATTTAGTTAAACCATAAAATAACTAACCAGCCATCACTTGAGGAGATGGTTGATAAGTGCCGGGTTGATGTTGAATAACCTGTCCATAACCTTGCTGTGAATACGGAGGTGGATAGTTTGGATTTTGAATCATAGAATATCCCTGATTTTGTTGAGCTGGCATTTGTTGTTGATGTTGATACATATTATATTGGTCATGTTGATAAGGTTGACTTTGATTAACAACTGGTGGATATTGATTTTGATTACCGATAGGTGGATATTGATTTTGATTATTAGGTGGTGGATATTGGTTCTGTGGTGAGTGATATTGAGAAAATCCTAAAAAATAACATCCACTTAAAATTATTTGTCTTTAGTTAATTAGGTATACAAAAAAATAAAATAATGATAAGTAAATATAAAATCGAACCAACCTAACTTAATTAATAAAAAATTAATTAAAATTAATATCAACTAAAAAATATATTAATTTAATTGTTTGCTTAAAATATTATAATTATTTTTCACATTAAATTTTCATACCTGGTGGTGGTGGTGCTACATTTGGATTGGAATACATTTTAATTTTCTGACACTTACGATATTTTAATAAAAATATTCTGAAAAATATAATTTTTTTGTTAGCATAGATAGTTACTATACACGCTATACTAGTTAAATCTAATTAGTAAAATATCTACTGGCTAAAACTAAACTAAACAATTTATACTGAGTCTTGTTTATTATATTATTATTTCTATATACATTTTGAATAATTGTTGTGACTGTTGTCATGGTTATTTTACATCAACCACGTACATTTATGACTCATGATCTCAATTGAGACACTAAACAAATATATCACTAACAAGCGCTCCCACATCAATGTCAATATCATCAGAACATTAAGGTTTAGTATCAAGGTGTATTTGAAATGCAAATAATAATTGATGAAATAACATACGTAAAGATGCAATTATTATGCACTATAATATAAATATTATTATAACATTTTCTGTATAAATTATTAAATTAATTATTTTTTTGAAATTTATTTCTGTACAGTAAAGCATCTATAATAGAATCATTTGGAACCAACACATTTATTTGTTTTAAAGAATTTTCCATATTAGAGAGGTCAATAACACAATTGCATTTGAACTGAGACTATTGATATTTTCTGTAATAAGGAAAATGAAATATAGAAAGGTTTTATTGTAGTTTAAAAAAAAACCAATGACTTGAAAATATATTTTGCTTGGCAATGTTTTTAAATTACACAAATCTATATTAGTTATTAATTAAACATTGAAAATAGCAACTTTGTAACATATCTAGTATATTAAAGTTATTATTATTGGTACTTTGGTAGAATGATAATGATATAAATATTAATTAATTATTAATTTTTCTTTTGTATAAAAAATTATTTATTAATCAAATATTATATTGACAAAAGACAAAATTGTTTTTGAAAAATGTTATTATATAAATACAAATAACATACAAACATTTTATACTAAGAAACCCTACATTTTTAAACATGATAAATTAATAATAATATTATAATTAATACCTATAAATACTACTTATCTTACTAAGTTTTACTTAAAAATTATACTTTACAAGTATAAAATTTAAAAAAATAAATAATTTGACCATTAATTGTAGATGAAAAGTTAGTTTGAAAACTTTTTTAATGTACAAAACACGAGTTATAAGCTGATTTATTTTGGACTAATAAATTGTAAGTATAAGCATTGATTATAAATAATATTATTGATTTATAAGAATGTTATTATTTATTTCTTAATATATCAGTAGGAAAAAAAAAAGAATAGGTTTTAAAAAATCGCAAAATCTTTAAGTGTATGATTTGCACCAAAAAAAAAAAAAAAGTTGTTAATAAATTAATAATAATGATTCCATTTATCAAGACCAGCCATGTACTAATAACCACTACGGAGTTATGAATTTTAAAATTAATTTGAATCTAACAAAAATATAATTATTTCATATATATCACTGTTTTGACAGTCTATTGACTACTATTAAGTTTTTATAGGTGAAACATTACACAATTAAAAATATTTATAAAATAATTAATTTTTTTTAAATGTAACAAAACATTAAATATATATATATGTATAAGAATCAAAAATAACTTAAAATATGCATTTATATTTGAAATAAAATTACATATTTTTGTAATATAGGTACTCATTACTCGGCTATTTTTGCATTTGTGCAATATAAGTTTAATATGTAAATGTAAAATGCTTTAAGTCTTATGCACTAATTATTAGTAATTAATCAAAAAAAATTAATAGGAAATGGTTTAGACAAATATAAGCTTAAATTATGCTTTGACAAAAAAAAAATTATCATTAAGTTTAGGTACTTACAGAAATTTTAATTTAATTTTGATTTAATTCAAAATCTTTTTCTTATTTAAAAGTTAATTTTTTTAATCTAAACCTAGACATATTCAATAATTTTTACTATAATTAATAAAATAGTTTAAAATATTATTTTTTTTATTTATAAGGTTACTAAGTCGTATATCGTATATGTATTGAATAATATGCATAAAAATAATAGTTCATGAGTTTTTCTTTAGTGTTACAACTGTTACAATATTTATAACCGTGAAAGTATGGACTGCCTAAAATTTTTGTCATACAATAGATCATTAAATACAAAAATCATTGGTTTTTTTCTTTTTATCAGATTCACTTTATTTTTTATTTTTTTGGCACCCCGCCCGTATTTTATAAATAAAACTTGGACATTCAATCCTAGGGAACTTCTAAAACAATTTATGGCATTTCTACAAGACAAGCTGAAAATCGGATGGAAAAATATGCCATTACATGATAATCAGAATCTTGCCGTATACTTGTTGCGACTGGGAATATAATATTAATATAGCGAACAATTTGAATTCTCAGAACTACATGATAATAAATAATAATAATATTAATAATAATAATAATAATAATGACTAATAAAGTTTAGACAGTGAGAGGCTTACTCAAATGTATATAATATTATACGTTTTTATATGCTTAGGTATGCACGTGTATTCCGAAAACAGACAACTACTACGAAAAATATTGATTAGCGACTAGTGCGACGACACTCTCCGGGTGTGCAAAATACAAATAAATAGCAAACAATAGAAATAATAAAATTAATATTAAAATTAAAGAGCGGCTCGTCAGTCGCCACTGAGCCCTTCTTAGTTCTTATTTCGGGAAACGGAACGCAATACGAACAACGATATTATCGATTAACTGGTCACCACTTCACGTCTTCGCCATAGTCTACACTCTACGGAATACGGCAAAGAGTAAAGGAGACCCACTCAAAACTCAAAGCCCACTACCACCCAACAGTTTGTGGACTAGGCGGACAGTGCACTGAATACTGATTAGTGATTACATTACTTACAATTGACTACTAACTTTACTGAGTACTGACAGAGTTGAGTTGAGAGACTGAGTCACTGATTACTATATCACTATTTCAGTATTTCAGATTAATAATATGACGTTTATCGTTATCGCGTGAAAAATTTTATAGAGTGTCATTAGCAATAGTTCCGAAAGAGCGGCACCCGTATGAGTAATAAGTTAGAATCGCGAATATAGATAATTTGTTCCGTGATAACATTATCGTCGACGTCATCGTGTCAGTTATTACTATTCGTAGATAATAATATATATCTGTGAGTGTGGCAAGAACTACCATAACAATATCCAGTGCTAACGCAAGCGGTGCGACAATTGACACACATTGCACGGTCGCCTGCTTGGCAAACGATTGGAGACGTGACATCGACCACCGACGACACAGCTGCAGCAGCTGACAGCGCGATTATTATTATCCGCCGAGCAGCTGCTGCAGGCTGCAGGTTGCAAGTAATTCATGCGGCGACATGCACGTCCTCGGTCCTCGATCGGAAGTACAACTACTACCACGGTAGTATCACGTGGATATTGTAGTGGGCGGAAGCGGGTTACGACGACTTCCGAATAGTGCATTTTGTACGACAAGCGATTCCTTCCCCTACTGAATTGGTGTTCAGGGCTGTCTGGCCGACCGACCAACCGACACGGACCATTATATTCATTATTCAATACCTTTATCATATCACCGAAGACGTAAACACATATGTATGTTATATTTATTTATTCAATAATAATAATAATAATAATATTCTCTTTCTTTTCCGCGACTCATTCTCTCAATCGTACGTCGTGATAAAGATTAAAGACGCAATTTATTGCGAAAAACGAAAAATTTTTTGATCAGCGTATAGTGACTGACGAGACCCGTCTGTGGAGGGATTAGTGAAAAAGATACAAGGTACTTTGCCCACAGAGAATATTTTTATCATTACTATTATTATTATTATTATTATTATGCGTGTTCGTTACGTTTACTTGCAACAACAACAGTAGAAAATGAATCGTATGGCTTTGTAATCAACATCAATTACGTTTTACGAATATAATCTTACATAAATATACACTTGCGCGACCAATACTCTTGTTTCTTACGCGATTTGTAAGTTGTTGTTGTTGTTTCTTTGTGTTCTTCATTGTTTTACGTTTTATTTCTATCACAAGTGAATACAGGTCGTTCAGTCTTTCAGTGTTAGCAGCTCGCGGTTTCTTGAAAGTCCATTGCCACTAATCGTCGCCATGTCATACGCCTACCTGTTTAAATACATCATAATCGGAGACACAGGTTAGTGGGTATTCTCTGACTGCTAAACTATCAGCCACTTATAATCTTAATCTGGCATATGTTACAGGAGTAGGCAAATCGTGTCTCCTATTGCAGTTCACTGACAAGAGATTCCAGCCCGTCCACGATCTGACCATCGGTTATATTGATTTTTATAAGCAATAATGATTATCAAAGTTTTTTTTATTTTTAACATGAACTAATTCTAGGCGTCGAATTTGGTGCACGCCTGGTGTCCATTGACACCAAACCAATCAAGTTGCAAATATGGGACACTGCTGGTCAGGAAGCTTTTCGATCAATCACACGATCTTATTATCGTGGTGCAGCTGGTGCATTATTAGTGTATGACATCACTCGCCGAGACACTTTCAATCATTTGACTACTTGGTTAGAAGACGCTAGACAACATTCTAATTCCAACATGGTCATTATGCTCATTGGCAACAAAAGGTAATATTTTAACCAGCATAATCTTAGTCAACTTTGATTAATTGATTAATGCGCTTAGTGATCTGGAGGCAAAACGAGAAGTAAAGAAAGAAGAAGGTGAAGCATTTGCTCGGGAACATGGATTAGTATTTATGGAAACATCGGCTAAAACCTCTGACAATGTAGAAGAAGCCTTCATAAACACTGCTAAAGAAATATATGAAAAAATTCAAGAGGGAGTATTTGATATCAATAACGAGGTTAGTTATATTTAAATTGAGTTATTTGTAAACTATTACCTAATGGCTAATAGCTCGCCTAATAGTCATATATTAATTTTATTTTATTCTATTTAATTTTAGGCAAATGGTATTAAAATTGGACCACAACATTCAACTGGTAACAATAGCGTACCTGGCGGTAATAATCGATCCAATGGCAATGGATGTTGTTAACTATTTCTGAAGGTCAACTAAATAATATTCAATTTGCAATTTTGATATTATTGCTTTCCATGTGGGTTATACTTAATTTTTTTTTTTTTTTTTGAGTGAATTATATTCAATATTTATTAATAGACCAAACTCTATAAAATTAGTATTGCGAATATATCTATTTATATAACTATATTACTTATTAATACTTATATGATGATGGTTTGGTTGTAAAAAGTTTTAAATCATTAATGTATAACCCATAAATGATTAAAAAAATATTCTTATACACTTTACTTCTATAGCACGATATTACCTTAATTTTATGTTTACCCTTAGGTTAGGAATGTAATTTATTTATTCCTAAATGTTTTGTTTGTTAGAATATAACTGATTTACTATATTTAATTACCTTATACACGCGATCAGTATTTAAAGTTTAAGTGTTCACTTAATGGTCTTAATGTATTTTATTAAAATAATTATCTTTTTAAATTCAAATAATTAACATTACATGAAATATTGATTTTTTTATGTTGCCATTGTAATTTTAATAATGGAAATTAATTTTTATAATAGGTATAATTACATATTATTCTAACTTTAATTTAACTTTTGATACTGAACGCATAATTATCTCTGGTTTTAAACTTTGAACGTTTATAAAATTAATGATTTTATAAACATTTTATGTGTAAATACTAAATACTTTATTGTTAATCATTTAATATCCTTAGATCTTATAATTTAATATGCCTCATTATATTATTATGATTGGTGTACAATGTACATGTTAGTCACAATAAATGTTTAATCTCTTATTTTATTTTTAAGGCGATTTAAATAGCGATTAAGGTACTCGTGAAATATTTATTCCTTTGTTTATAAAATATTCAATTTGTTAAAATTTGGTTTTCAAATAAATAATGCTAGAGTTTTAATATCTGATACTAAAAATATTAAACTAACCCAACACATCTTGTCATGGGTGTTTAATCAGGGGGTAGCCTTTTGTTTTTTCGATTTTATAGTTAAGTGTAAGAAATAACATTTAGTGTGAAGCACAGGGGAAGGCACTTAGGTTGGTTAAGTTATCTGATGAATTTTATTTTTTTTTGCTTTTTCCATATTTTATAGTAAAATTTATAAGTTTGGTATAAAAAATAGAATTTAGTTTGAGCAGTGGGGATAAGTGCCCCCTGCCCCACCCTTCTATAATCATGCGTATTGTAGCTCAATCATTAGGTATTAAATTATACAAATTAAGCTCAAGAAAATACTTCATACTACTCGTGCGTGTGTTGTCTCTTTACAAAACATAAAACATTACATTTGAGTTCAGCCAAAAGGATTTTGTGTTATTAGCTTGAATATTTAAAGTTGAGAACATTATCTGTAGTAAACATAGACTTTTTTTATTAACATTTCAATTTGTAAGCACGATTAATATATGAAATATTAGTAATATAAATTGCTCATGTTTTGCTTAAAAATTCGCAGATTATGTTCTTAACATTAAATTTAATAATCAATAATGAGTTGATTCACTCTAATATTTAAGTTATCACAAAATTTATTTTGTTAAGTTCAAATTTAATATTTTATTTTTGTAAGGTGAAGACAACACATACATGGATAGCATTCTTTAAACACATTGATTGAGTTTCAACAAGAATTTGTGTCTTTAGGTTTAATCGAAACCATTAAGCATCAAGTATACTTTTGAAGTAAGTTTTTTTTATTATTTTTTATGTAACTCTAAGTAATTCTATTATTAGTCAACATAGTTAAATAATAGATATTTTTAAACATAAATTAATACACCACTCATTAGTATAACCATGAAAATAGTTTCTATTTATTAGAAATTATTATACATACACACTAGAGTGAGAAACACAAATATTTATATATACTATAATATACAGTCATTATATGTAGCGACAAGACAAAGTTTGTGTGTAGTAGTAATATTACAGTTTTCGTTTGGACAATCTTTTTTTGATAAAAGCAACCAATCCGTCCACAATGAATTGTAAGTTAATATCAAAGTAGGCATGCATAGTATGTTAAAAATAATAAAGCGAATAAAATCATTTGGATAATTGTTCAATAAAAATTGAAAAATACATTTCATAATCTATAAAAACATACACTTAAATTACACTAAATAATAAAAATAAATAATTATAAAAAGTATTTATATACATGAAAACGATTTATAAAAAATGAAAATCTTACATTTTAAGGCATACATTTGTTGTTTTGTAGCTCCATAAGATATTTTAACATTAAATCTATAAGGGTGGATGACCAAACTTGTATCTAAAACAAGACATTTAAATTTAAACAAACATTTTATTAAATAAATAAAATCACTCACTTTTCCAGAAACATTAATTGAAGCAACTTTAGGCGCTTCGAATGCTTTCAATTTTAATTTTGATACATTTATTCCACATGTTATTTTAAAATGATCTTCTATATCAGATTGTACTTTAATCAAATCTGAATAATGGAATGAAGTAGTTGCAGGAGATGACCGATTCAGTGAAAGCCTATAGATTATATTATTTGTTTTACTATTTAGTTTTCTACTGTATAATAGGTTTTAAGTTTTACATTGAATGACTCTACTAAAGAGACCAAAGATGAGTAAAATTTAAACTTAATAATTAATATTACACAAAAAACAATTGTAATTAGATGGTATGCCAGCCAATCTCTATTTTTTGTTTATATTTATAATATTCTTCTATCATGAACCAATCATTATTTTTTTTTTTTAAACTATTAATATTTTTGAAATATATCTCTAATATAATTTACGGTCAAAATAAAACAACATTTATTTAAAAAATATATGTTTTTAAATTTTATGAATAACAAGCATTTTTAATTTCACATCCTAAATCAGAATATTGTGATACATAAAAATCGATATTTAGAAGAGTAGTAGTTTATGAATTGTTACTTTATTAGTATTTAAAGTTTTAGTAAGCGGAGTAGTAAGACAAAATATTGTAGGATATTTCTGTATCACATCACTTCACTCACTTAAACTTTAAATACATATGACTTAAAAACTATTCAATGAAATTTAGATTTTTATGTATCAAAATATTACAAAAAATATTCTGCTTTAGAATATGAAATTAAAAATATAGTTATTCAAAGAAGTAAAACAAATCAATACAGTAAAAAATATTAAAAGTTTAAATTCGACTGAAAATTATATAAAAAAATATTTTTAAAAATGTTAATAGTTTTTGAAGTAATGATTGTAGATTGTAATAAAAAATTATGTTGAATTCTGAAATGGAATATTTTTTAAGTATTTAAAGTTCAAACAAGAGAAGTAGTAGAACAAAATTTATCAAATTACCTACTTTAACTATTCCACAGTATTCATAAATAGTTTAAATATTAATAAGTAATAGGCAATTAATGAACTACTTGTCTAAAATTTAATTTTTGTATATCAAAGTACTTAGAAAATCTTTTACTTTATAATTAAGCATTAGGAATAGATTTTGTAAGTCAAAAAAGTAAAAATAAATTTAAAATTATAACTATAAAAAATAGTAAAATTATAATTTTGTAACAACTTATTTGATTTATAAAAGAAAGTGGTTTATGAAATAGTGATAGTTTTTGATAAAAAGTGATTTTATATTGCTCAAAAGAGCCAAAATATTTTTAAATTTTTACTAAAAAGAAAATTCGAGTTTAGATTATTTTTATCTTAATTATAACAAACAACAAATACATTTTAATGCACTCAGCTCTTGTTATCAGAAACCATTCTTAATATTGAAAATTAGAGCAGTTATATTTGTTATAAAATATTATCAGACAAAAATAAAAAACCCCATTTATTTTAGAAGAAATTTTATATTTCTTTAAGTTTTTAAAATCTAAAGTAAGCTATATTAAAATAAAAAGCGTATTGTTAAATCAATCAAATTTTATTGATATGGTCAAAAGAAAATATTTTCCATTCAAAGAATATTGATTGATCCAAATAATACAGTTGAATAATAAAATAATATTTTTAGAATACTAACTTGGCTAAGACTGATTGAAGGAACTCGGATTCAGCATAACATTTTACATCCATCTGGCCCTTTGATGATTCATATTTATAGAGATAGTGGTATAAAACAGTTTCATTGTATAATGGTCCTGCATCACCCATTGATATTGCAATAAGCCACAGAAATTGATATAAAGCGAATTCAAATGGTCGAATGACACAATCAAAATATTCAGTTAACCAATTATGTATGGCAACTGAAATTGATTTATTTCCTTGTACCATTAATATGGGCATGTCAGATAAATTATTTTTACTATAATTTTGATTATAATTCGGTGACTTTAATAATAAACCCGTGTAAAGTTTTGAATTAGTATCATTGTTAAAAACATTAATCTGTGAAAAAAACAATATAATATAGTAAATTAAATTATTTATTATACTACCTATAATGGTTAAGTAAATATTTTTTTAAATCTTCATTATAAATATTTTATGCTAAAAATATTACATGTAAATTAATTTATAAAACAGGTCATCATTTAAAATATTTTTTTGAAATTATTTATAGTTTTAAAATATTACTAATTCCGCAGAATTAACTTACTGTTTAATGAGTTAACTAACTTATTTTTCATATAATTTATTTCTCGTAAACAACATTTTGAAATTTCTGATTATCTATTGATAGCTTCTTTAGAATAGATCGCAGTTAAAATTTAAATAAAAATATTTTGAAAAAATAATACATAAAACTATATTAACTATGTGAAATTGTTGTTATAATAAAATACTGTTTTCATTTATAGAAAACAAATAATGACTTTAAATTTTTATTTTTTGATTCAGCATAATATACCTACAGTTCATGGAAATTTAATAGAAAATTTAAACAGTGTGTAATCAATTGTATGACAACTTCAATATTAAATAGTAAATAGTAATACATATTAATACAGTTATTAAGAACACCTATATTTTAATTAATACAGTAGTCTTAATTTATTAATTTAATATTATTATTTTGTTAATATAAATAAATAATAAAATAAGTATAAATGAAATCAAATTAATATTGTTCAAAGAACACAATGCTATGAAATGTATAACTTTTTTTTTACCTTTAATGCAATACATTCATGATTTGCTTCTTTTGCTTCAATTTCCACAGAGATTTCTGAGAAAGAATTCTTTTGGTTTTTCATATTAGTAGATGTATGATTCATTAAAAATTTCTTTAACTTTTTGGATAACAAATTTAAATAGTTGGTATCAAAATTCAAATTCCATAATGGAGAAACACGAAAAATTGACCAATTTTTACCAACGAGATCTAGATTAAATACAATACACAAAAGTAGCACATTCTTATGAGAAAATTAAAATCAATTGGTATGTCTATTAAACGAGATTTCATTTTAGTATGTTGTCATATTTTTTTGTCTTACCGAGTATATCAGATATTTCTATAAGAGCAGTTGGATCATAAGTGAAATCTTCAACTATTCCTGACTCTGATCCTGACATTATAACTATAATGCAAATAAAATAACATAATATAAATTATTATAAATAAAGAATTTAAAATATCATATGACCCAATTAAATTTTTTGGGATTGCCAATAGTCTCGGAATTAAACTTTAATAATTTATGTTGACATTTTGGATTTTCAAAATAGATATTATTATAAGACACTAGGTTACATGTTTCATATAAAACCATAAGTAATTATATAATAATTTCTCAAATCCTAACGTCCCATTATAAGTTTTATCATAAATTTGTTTATAAAACTAAAGCTCCTCAAGTCTTACTTTTGCTACTCACTTTATGTCTCTTACTTAATTTTTGAGAACAATGTAATTAATATGATATATATTAAAATGTAAAATTACTTATGTTATATAATATAGTAAAAATAACAATGTTTACTTTGCTATTTCTTCAACTTTACTATACAGGAAATTTAATAATTTGGTACTTTCTATTATTTAATTTATTCTTTTAGATAAGTTTGTCTATATGAAATAAATAAAACATTATTGATTGTTGTAATAATATTATTATCTTATTATTTATATATTCTAGGTAATTATACTAAATGCAAATAGTAGAACTTACTATCTTCCTGATCAGATTCGTCAGTTTCAATTGTATGTGGGTTTTCATTTTCTTTTTCATTACAATCTAAAATAGTATATTTGCAATATTAATAAGATGATAAAATTATAAAATTGATAATACTTATATCTTATTAGATACTTAAACTAATAATCTATAGTTAATTCATTGTTTTGAAAATTGTTTAAAAAAAACATTTACAAATGATAATAATTTGTAATTAATATTAAGGAAGTTGATTTAAAAAATTCAATAAATGAAGCAGAACAACCAGTAAATTAGTAATAGTTAATAATGTTTCTCCTATTAAGCCTGTTAAACCTCCATTATTATTTAAGCTAATTGTACAAAATTTACATAAATTGTTTAATTTAAACAAAGAATAAAAAAAAGTGTTAAGCATACATATTAAGAATATGTATCTTTTATGAAAAAATTTAATACATAAGCTTATATAGGATGAGAATAATCATTAAGCATGTTGTAAGTTTTAACAAAGGTGCAGAAAATGCCAAACACATGTTGATATACAAGTTACTGAGATCTGATGATCTGTAAATTTAACTGTGTAAATTATAGCTAGATATTTAAGTTAGATTTTAATAAAAATAACTAAGATTTATCACAGTAATAAATTATGTTAAGTATGTACAGTGAAATCTCTAAATACTGGACAGTTATAATAACTGAAATTTTACCTATTTGGGGGAATGCTATTTTTTCTAGGCTGTTTATAGGAAGTATATTGATTTTTCTCCAAAAATAATCTAAGACATAGATGTATTTGTTAAGAGGTTTCACTGTAGTTAAGTTAGTTAAATTTTTGGAAAAAAAAATTGTAACTTTCATACTTTCTGAATGATAATTAATAATAAAAAAATAAATATATTATGATAATATGTATATAAGTATATATCACATATTTTATATATATATATATTATCTTTTTTATAAATTGTTTATATTTAATTAAATTTAATATGTCAATAGTGCTCAAATGCTCATCAACCACATATTTAATATTATGTTGATTATTTTATGTATTAAGCCTAGAGAAAATATTATATATAATGTTTACAATTAAATAATTTTATACAATTATTTCTATTTTTTATAAATTAGTTATACTTTAAAATATAATTAAATTATTCCATATCGAGAAAAGTTTACTTATTATATACAATAATAAAATTTTAAACAAACTATATAATTTATACACAAATGTAACTAACCATTAGTTATACAGGATATATCACCAAATGACTCGGAGGTTTCATCTCTCGCAACTATAAAAACCATAAAATATATACATGAGACAACAAGTAACTAATTAATATTTAATTTTAAGTTATATGCTTGAAAAATATATTTTTATGTTAAAATGTTTAAATATAATGCTATTTTTTTATTTTTTTTTTTTTGTTAATTTCAAATATTTTCACTGAATAATATAATAATCTATATCTTTAAGCTCCAATTAATATTATAAATATATGGCATTAACATATTTTAGTACTAACGAAGAAAATATATACTTACTTGGATTTGCTTCTATTGCACTTAGGTCTTCATCGATTTCCATGATTATCCTTATTTTATATTATACGTACCTAGAATTTATAGATCAAAATATCGGTCAGATGAAGAATACAAACACTAACCACTTGGTCATTTAATATTTCGCAATATTATAGAATATAGAATAAATTAATAGGTAAATAATTGTTAATTGTACCTTTTTCTCGTCTAATATTAAAATGTCGATTGTTGATTGTATAGTGTATAGTGTATACCTACTTACAAAATATATTTATTATATTATATAGTATATACCATAAATAATAAAATATAGCAAGTATAGTATATTTTAATAGATAATATTATCTACAACAGTACAAGCGTTCCGTTGTTTGAAGTTTGAATTGAAAATTTGTAACGGATAAAAGTGATAACGATTAACGACTTCTTGTCCGCTTGTATCGCTAGCACACCTGTTTCTATCTATCTAAAACTGTGATCGATAGCGATGGTTGCAGAATTGAGAATTGCGAATTGCGAACATTAATGCCTGGTGCTTACCTAATGGTCATAAACTCATAACTAAATCACTATTTATTAAAAATACTTAAAAATTAAAATATTAAAAGCATTTATGCATTGATTAAGTACTCACATATATTTGGTATGAGTAAATAGTAAATACTAAAAACGAAATAATGCCAGATTACATGAATGATCATTTAACATTTTATTGAATCAAATAGCCAATAGGTAGTTCGGCTAGTTCTTTAAGCACGATTTAGTGGTCCGTAATTAGTTTATTAAATTTTATCGAACTATTAAAATCATTAAATTAATTAATTTTTTCACGAAACCTGGAAGAAACAGGTAAATATTAATTTGGTAATTGTAGTGACTATAACATTGTAACCAAGGTATTGGGTAGGTAGTTGTAATTATATTATAATTATTAGTTAGAATTTATATTATCTAAAAAATACGAAACATGTCTTTAAAAAATGGTTGTACACTGCAAAAATTGAAAAATGTCAAATTATGTTTGAAAATATAACTACACTAAAATATTTTATATTGTGTATTTATAGGCGGCACAGACTTCTGAATCAGATATGGCAAAATTCAATCGGACAATTTCAAGAAAAGTTAATTAAATTAAATTCATTTGAATATTGTAATTAAATTTTCTTAAAATACGCAGAATGTTGTCTATGATATGAATAGGTCGTATGAATTATGAACAATAAACCAGTAGGTATTAGTGGTAATATTATTTTTTACGTATTAACATAATTACTCCAATTTATTATAATAACTAATAATTGAAACATAAAACTAAAAATTAATAATTGTTACCTATATTATATATTATATCTTATACTCGTGTGTTAATTATTCATTGTTACTTGTTAGGTAAGTAACTATTTATTTAAAGAAAAAAATTTTCATTTTTTTTAAACTATATCTACATATATGTATAGGTAGTTTTTCTATAATTCCGTTGAATATCTGGGTATTTGACTTGTCAAAAAAAAATTTTGTAAAAGTACACAAGAATTGTGTGTGTGTGTGTGTTTTTTAGTACCTAATCTCGTAGTTACTTTTTTCATTAAAAAGTTAAGTAGGTACCTAACTCTTATCATAGTTTTATTCGAGTACCTAATGAGTAATGATTAATGAATAAATTAATTACTTTAATATCCAAGCATAATGAATAAAATAATTAAATTACTTTTAAAAAATATTTTACTCAACATTGATGTATATTGTATACCATAGGTACGTCCATGATACGCATCAGTTACGTATTTACCTACTTAACTACATAATGGTCATATAGTATCATCAACTTAACTACCTACTTCATAATTTATGCAGTTATGGTTAGAATTGCATGCTTAACATGATACTTTGGAATTATTTCAACGTATTTGAATAATTTAGGAGTGTCGATTGTGGTTTGCGAGTTGCATTGTGTACTTACGTAAGTACCTACTACATTGAGACTTACCTACTATTTGAGTACTCAATGAGTTGCGTTAGTCATCACATGACAAAAAAAAAAAATCAATATATATATATTAATGTTGGTGTTAGAAATCTATAAAATACTATACCTTTTTAAAGATATTTAATATTTATAATACCTAAACAATTATTCAAATTTCAAGTCTACCTACTATAAATTTATTTTTTTACGCAAAAATACAGTTTTCATAAAAAAATGTATTCCACTACAAAAATAATTACCTTGCAGAAGTTCATAGTAGTTGTCATTCGTTTCTTGTATAAACAAAAAACTATTTTCATAAGTCATAGCTTTGTATTATTTTTTTACTAAGTTCCTTCTAAATATTGTTGTCTCTTGTATAATATATACGTATTATGATTTATGGTCTTTATGGCCTACTTCTTATATCATACATTTTTAATAACTTATAATATAAAAATATTGAATTCTATATTCCAGGAATTTATCATTTCTTAATAGTTGTATAATGATATGCTCACACATCATAATTTATTGTATATTTTATTATTTCATTAAATAAATAACGATAAAGTTGTCGCACGCAAATAGCCCTCAATAAAAACTAATAATCCCTATTGATCACTGATAATAGAGACGATTTACATTGTTTGGTCACGTTATTGCGAAAATATGGCACAAAGCGTGTGATCTATTTTCGTGTGCTGCCAGAGACAAGGGATGGTCCAATGAGGCTCTCCATCGTCGGGGAGAAAGCCGATTTCTCTAAGGACGCGGAGGCCTTTGTTGGAGCTGCCTGCGACTCTGGCTGTCTTGACCACGTCGTCTTCTCTCACCAGTGCAGGTGCACCAGACAAGCGAGCTGGAGCTCTACACAAAAAGATTTGCAGTACATAAAAACTAATGATATAATGCGGTGATCTACCGTTAGAGTTTGTTATTTTGTTGTTGTGATAAATTTAGTTAAATTAAGATAAAGAAATGTTATTAATGTCGGGAATAAAATCGTTTTTCTTTTGATTACGATTTACGTGCAAAAAAAAAATATGTAGATTATTTAGAATATTATTGAGTTGAATAATCATTTTCTAATATTTTTTAAAATATTTTTTGATATTTTTTAAGGAATTTTAATTAGGTCGTAAGCAAATATATAAATTTATTAACTTTTATTCCGCAGATTTTTTCCGTAATTGATTAATACTTTTAAACTAGGTAGGTACCTACGTCCTACATTAATGTACTATTAAATTATATATTATATTGATATATTATACAGATACTACAATTATTGTATAAATATTTGAGGTGAAATTTTCATAACCTAAAGTGCCTATTTAATGATAAATAATATTAATATATTGTAATTTTCAATAATTCTACATTAATTTTAATGACAGCATAATCATTTTAAAATTATTTCGAACTCGTAATAAAATTCATAAACCTTAGGTAAGTACTAAGTAGCTAATAAACATAAGTAAAATAAATAATAATATATTTATTTGGCACGAGAACCGTGATAGTAGTTATAAAAGTTCAAACTACGATTAAAGATAGTATATTACTGTTTTAATCGTAGTTCAAATAATACATTTGTTTTGAATTATAAATCATAAAAAAATTTGAACATTCAATTTATAGAAACACATTATTCTATTAATCTATTAATAAAATAATTAATAAAAGTGACATTTATTCTGGTAGACAGTAGTTAGTAATAAACTATTAATTAATAATCACAACTACTGAATTTATAATTTAATATTAGTAAACAATCTGACATTAAAAAAATCCGAAACAAATCTAAAATCAAATTTACATTTTATCAATAAATATACGCTTTTCAGCTTGACGTATCATAAAAATCGATCTAATCGATCGATACGTTACGTTTTCATGTTTAGTTTCTATTGTGTGCGTTTCAGAGTTTTGATACGTATCAAAATATGATTGTAAACCATGTTGAAATGTTGCTTATCACGAGTTAGCTTAGGATTGATACTCTTAATTTCTAGTACCTGTACCTACTTCGCTCAACTTTTGAATTTTTTAAATCTTATCATTACAGTTAAAATTTGTTTTTACTTTTCTAGTTTATAATATTTGTATAAACGTTATAAATTATTGTTTTGCTCAATAGATCGTTAATGTTTTAAAACTTGTGTTTTTTGATTAAACTTAACTTCATTAATACTTTTTAATCAATACTCTAATATTATTTCGATTTGATACTCATGTAATTTTATTGTAATTGCGTTTGAATGTAACTAATTAATAGAAATGAGTCAAGAAAAGATTTGTGTTAAGCTCCCAACGACAGATAAAAAAGCAACTCTTTTAAAATGGCGAGTAAAAGAAGGCACTTTGGTTAATAGCACTGTTGTTGTACTTCTTTATCAAGAGGATGGAGAAAAAGATCGGAAAAGTTTTCGCACACATCACATTGGTGTTGTTAAGAAAATTTTGATACACGAAGGACAAGAAGTTCCTGCAGGGTAAGAATAACTTTGATTCTGGTTAAAAGCTTATATACTTTCAAATATATCTAATAGTATTAATATATTTCTAATATTATTATAGACTTGAGAATTAATTATTATTTTTTACATAATATTTTAGATGTCCTGTATTTGAGTTGGAGCCTGGTTGTAGCCATAGTACTGTTGTTAGTGATTTATGTGCAGATTGTGGTGCCGATTTAAGAATCGACAATGCATCTAAACCAACTGCATCTGTTTCTATGATACACAGCGTGCCTGACCTTAAAGTCAGCGAACAGGTACATACAAATTATTTTATACATCTAACTAAAATATGAAATTATTAATTTTTAAATTTAATTTTAGAGTGCATTGTTGTTGGGTAAAGCTGATGAAAAACGACTGCTTAGTGATAAAAAACTGGTATTACTTGTAGATTTGGATCAAACACTAATACACACAACAAATGACAATATACCTAATAACATCAAAGTATATATTTTAATTTATTTGTGTGGTTTTATATTAATTAAATACTTTATTGGCATGTGTATTTGCACAGGATATTCACCATTTTCAATTATATGGACCAAATTCGCCTTGGTATCACACAAGACTTAGGCCAGGTACTTACAATTTTCTTTCTTCTATTAGTGAATTATATGAACTTCACATATGTACATTTGGCGCTCGAAACTATGCTCATACTATAACACATATTCTGGATCCAAAAGGAAAGTTGTTTTCTCATAGGGTTTTATCACGAGATGAATGTTTCAACCCAAACAGTAAAACTGGAAATCTCAAGTATGTTTATCTTTTTAAGTATAAATATTTTATTAAATATATTATATTAACGTTAAGTTTGCTTTTATTGCTAGATATTTAATTAAATGTATTTTACTGTATGATATGCCCTTTCTATATTTATATTAAATTAAATTAACTGTAACTGAAGTCTATATAATATTGTTATGATCATTTTGAAAATAATAGTCTTGGTTAAAAAAATAAAAACTTATTAACAAAAATAAAAATGTATTTATGCTTTTACAGTTTATATCACTATTGATTTTGTATATACATATGTAACTTTATATTTTCTTCAAAAATATTTAATGATATTTTTGAACTCATAACATACTTTAACACATGATAAAAAAAGATTCTTTATAACTTCAGAATTATTTTGTTCAATATTTTTAAATAATGTATCTCAATTATATATTTTTTGTGAAATTAAAATATCACTAATTTGAAAAATCAAAATGATAAGTTTCTTAAACGTGTTAAATATTATATATAATTGGCAGATGATAATAAATAAAAAATACTTTGCACACTTCAGTTAAGATTAAAAAAGTCAATAAAAACTTCTTATTTAGGTATATACATATTTATTTATTAATTTTCTATGAAAACTAACAAGTTGTATTAATAAAAAAATAAGTATGAAACGAATATCAGTATGTAGTATGTAAATATAAGTATTGTTACAAATCTTGGTCCCGTATAAACTTGTAACATCATAAAATAGTAGATTAACAAACACCCAAAAACTCATATTATGGATTTAGAACTCAGCCATGTTTATATTTAAAACCAAGATTATGCATTACTTTTACAATATTTTAAGTTTAAAATTATAAATATTTTAAAATTATTAAGTATAGTAATATATTTATACTGTTTTTTACTCTTTTATTATTTAATTTAATTTAATTATTTAAATTTACAATTAAAAATATAGTACATTGTTTATTTTAGAGGATTGTTTCCATGTGGTGATAATATGGTGTGTATAATTGATGATCGTGAAGATGTTTGGGATTATGCTTTAAATTTGATACATGTCAAGCCATATCATTTTTTTCAACATACTGGTGATATAAACGCTCCTCCAAATTTACAAAAAAATGTTGATATAACCTTACAACAGGATAATAGAATAGATTTTACACATTTAGTCCAAGGTAAATTTAGGGGTATTTTATTTTCTTGTTATCAAAAATGATTTAAATATATTATAACTGTTTATTTTATTATACACCAATTAATTTAAAAAGTTTAAAAACGCTAATTATTAATTATGTATTGACACAGGTATAACTATTAAAAAAAAAGATAATCTAAAAGATGAACCACAAATGGAAGATGGAGAAGTTGCGTCTGATGACGATTCAGGGAATACAACAACTGATAATGAAAAAAATAAAAATAATGTAACTAAAGATAATAGTGATCAAGTAGAAGTTGAGGAAGAAGATGATTACTTGTTGTACTTGGAAGATATTTTGAAAAATTTGCATAAGGAATACTTTAAAGAATATGATCAAAAACATAAGTTATACGGAGATGATGTTGAGGTTCCTGACATGAAGCGTATCATACCTATGTACCGTTCAAAAATATTAGCTGGTAAAAAGCTAGTATTTAGCGGTTTAGTGCCTACTCCTGTACCGTTGACTGAAAGCCGAGCTTATAAGGTGGCTCGATTGTTAGGTGCAGAAGTCACAGAAAATATTGAACCGGACTCTACACATCTGGTTGCTGTTCGTCAGGGCACACTTAAAGCTAGTGCAGCCCGTAAACGCCCTGATATCAAAACAGTGACACCTGAATGGTTGTGGCTTTGTGCAGAACGTTGGGAACATGTTGAGGAAAGATTATTTCCTCTCCGATCAGAAGGTGGTGGTGGTTCTAGTAGTAGAGACCCACCAGCTCATTGTAGTAGTCCAGAACATTCACCACATTTTATGGCTAATAACCAAAATATTTCTCATGTAAATAAAGAACAGGATCAAAAATTTGCTGAGACACTTAATCCTCTACTTTCATTTTCTGATGAAGATATTAAACGTATGGCTGGAGAAGTAGAAGACATGACTGATGATGAAGAAAGTTGTGATGGTGATGATGCGCCAAATATAAATAATGTATTAAAAATAAATAAAGATGGCAATTCAAGTTCAGAAGCATCTTTAGATGGTAAGAGTTTTATTATGAAATGAATTGAAATATTATTTGTTCTTTTTTCAGTTATATCCGTATTTAAAGTTTTGGATTCATTGTGATTTCCATTTTCAGATGGTGTGTTTTTCTGTTATAAACATAAATTTACTGAGTATGGAACTTACAATATGTCTGAAACATTAGTATAAAACTGAAGATATATTTGAGAATTGAGAACATATAATTAAGCATTTTGTTGTTTAAACTAAAGTCTAGTTAATATAAATCAGAGATGGAAAACCTTATTTTTATTATTATTATTAAATAGAAAATTTACAATCTGTAGCTATAGGCAAATATGATATACATATGAAGAATAGTTAACCTGATGACATAGTATTAGGAAGAAGGCTACCCAGTGACAAAATTGATAGATATTACCTATAGTATAATGGCTATATTCTAGTGACATGTGAAATAATCTTATTCATTGTCTAATCTTAAATAGTTAAATAAAAAATAAAAAAATTGGAAACAATTTTTACACTCAATATTTATGTCAAAATACAGTTGTGGTAACTTATTCTTCACAATAAATATATTTTATTAAAGACCCATCCAAATGAGAAAAAATGTTAATAGGCAAATTATTACTATTTATTTTATTAAATTCTACAATTCTTTTAGAACAAATTTTTAATTATATAGATATATTACTGTAAAATCAATAGTCACAAATTAATTAAAAGTAAAAATAGAAAGAAAGAAAGCAGCATATTTCCTGGCTAAATTTTATTTCTCTTATCTTCTGTTAGTTGGAGTAAAGATGAAAAAATAAGGAATGAGTAATGAAAATAATTTTGAAGTTTAAGTGTTAATTAATTTATAGCACTTGAATATTATAAATATTTAGTTAAAAGCTTAATTTATATAATTAAAATATAATAGGTATATTAAATAATAAAAATTTTAAAATGTGGCCTGGTGTGGCACGATGGTTGGCCTCAGTCACTAATATGTTTAGAGGTCAAGCATTGGCCAGCATCGCTAGCTCTCGGATGGATGACCATCTGAGTTCATAGTGATGATTCCATGGTGCACACATGTTTCAATTCTATTAAATAAACCTTACAAACAGAAAAACCTACTGTTTTTATCCACAGCTAATGCCCTTAGTTGCCGTGCTTAAATAAGATGAATAATAAAAAAAAAAAAAAAACTTAAAAATTATTAAAAGTGGTAATATTAGAGAATTAAGATTATATTTTATACATTATTAGGTAGATATTTAAACAGTAAGTAATAAATATAATGTATTTTGCTTCAGGTTCTAGAAGAGGAAATAAACGTCAATTCAGTTCATCAGAATCAACAGATAATGAAGATGAAGTAGAAAAAGAAATAGAAGGTAAAATATTGATTAAACAATTCCGACAAAGTAAAAATATAGATGAATTAGCCTTGGAGTAGGACAATTATAGTGAAAAAAGTATAGATATTGAATAAAATATATTGCACGCTGCTTCACTAAAATCATTTTTTTTTAAATTAGTTTTTAAAGATCTTTTAGTTAAAAGTTTAGCTGGTCTGTATGCATAAGTATTATATCTTTTATAATTTCATAAAACATAAGTTATTATCATTTTTAGTACTAATGTAGAGTCTTCTCTACAATGACTCAAAAAAATCCTGCCACTTTCCTAAATCTAAATTTTGATATTGTAATATCATTTAATATCTATCATAATTATGATACATATTATTGACATATTAGTGTATTATATTATATCTTATGACTTGTCTTCATCATCTGAAATTTTTTAATTTTATACCTTGTTAAATTTGTTTAGAGATCAATAACTAAAGAGCATAATATATTTCAGATTTTACTAAAGTACATTTCTATATTTTTGGTCTTATCACTAAATATTTAATTTACTATAATTAATTTTAACAAAATGTAGTTTCATTTTTTTTTTTTTTTTTGACAGTTGTAAGGATTTATAAGACTACTTTATTTATTACTTTTTTGTTTTTAATCTTAAAATGTAATGGTTATATTTTAACTAGCAAAAAATTATGTATTACTTATTGCTTTATCTATTTAGTGAAATTTTTTTCTTTTCATGAAGTGGATTATATCTGAAATGGATTCAATTTTTTTTTTTATTACACAAGTAAACTTTCTAAGAAAATTTTTTATTTTTCTTCAAATATGTATATTATGTATGAAATGAATATATTGTTTTCTGATTAATTTTGATGATACTTATTGTATAAACCAATTTATTAGTATTTTAATGTACTAGTACTTAATTTATTAATATAGTTTATACACGAGAACTTTAAATAAATTTAGTTATTTTTACATAATATAGTATATTATATGACACTGTTAAGTAATATTTTTAAATTTAAAATTAGTTTATTAATTAAATTAACAATTAATGACACCAACAGTTATAATGCATAGTTTTAATTATTTATTTTGTTTAAATTTATTAAAATTAATTGTATACACTAATAAATTATAAATATACAGTCTTACAGTACTCTAAAATGATATTTAGTAGGTTTATTCAATATAGTTTTCCATTTTATAAACTAAATTTCTTATCCACTATTTTTATTTTAATCTTTCTTTATGTTAAAGAAAGTCATAAATCTAATCAGTTTTTAAATTGGCAAACATTTAATGTAAGATGGTAAAATAAAATAATTATATAATATAATTTATTCATTCTAATTAATTTTTGATATAATGGTTTTTACTTTAGGTGCTAGCAGAGGACAGAAGCGTCGACACAGTTCACTAGATAGTGATGGAAGTGAAGAAGATAATGAAACGTTAAATGAAAAATTCCGTCAAGGTAAAAATTTAGATGAATTGGGAGTAGAATGGGGTAATAATAGTGAAAATAGTGTTGACCAACCGGATGATATGAATGACTCTGAATGGGGAAACAATAGTGAAAATAGTGTGGACCCACCTGACGAGATAAATGATTCTGAATGGAATATGTTGGGTGCTGCCTTGGAAAAAGAATTTTTGGAAAATCAGTAATTAATACATAAAAAATGTTTCTTAATTTTTAGTTGTATGAATTGTACATATCATAAATTGTAAAAATTTTCTTTGCTGAGTTTTTTTTTTTTTTTTTGAAACATTATGTATGATCTTATTTGATTTGTCACTATATACTGTGTATTTGGAAATTTATTACTTGTGATGTATACCTTTTATGCTTATTATATTTGTAATAAATAATTATTGAATAAGACAGTTTTATTGTATTATTCAACTATCTATTAATATTAATGTTTAATATGAAATATTGTGACTTTCTGTGTTTTTATTTTTCATTTGTATATATTTATAACCAACATGATTATTTTATTATAATTGTACCTATCTAATAATAACTCTTACAAATTAGTTGTATATTTTATATCACTTATTTTAGGCAAAATCAATTTCAATAATTAATAAATTTGTAGGCTTATACTAATAACCACCGGGCACTGATGTTGTTGAAGTCTTCGAAAAAAAAAATAATAACTATATACCTAATAGTGCAACTACATATTTTTTAACAGTAATTTAAATCTAATTTTTATTTTAAGACTGTTATGATTTAAAAATAAATTTTTGTTCCACAGATTTACAAAAACTTATCTACTTGTTATTTAATTCGCAGAACTGAGGTGATAAATACTACAATATTTAAAGGAGAATATTTTTTGGACTAGTTGGAAGGAGACTAATGTTTTGGAAGTCATCACTGACATTCGCCTACACACAAATTTCGAAGGAATTTTAGGAGTTTAGCATCCTTTCATAGTTTTGAACTTAATAAGTATATTAGGTAACTATTATCATTAAAAAATATTGGTATTTGATGAACTATTAGAAAAAAGAATGAATTTAATTGAACATTTTTTCGAAGAGTTTTTCGTACGAAAATGTCTGAAAAATGTATTATTTATTTTTAAACACGTCCTGCTTTTATTACATATATTTTTCATATGAAAATAAACTTTGGAATACAGAGTATGGTGCAGTAAAAATATTAGAAATATTAGGTTATAGTTTCTAAGCGAAATTATTAATTATTGGTTTCACATTAATGGCAGATATGATTTTTTTTGTGACTGGCTAGAAGAGTTACAGAAAAATGCGGAAGGAGTCGTTCAATTGAATTTTCTTTTATCACATAAATATTAATGTATTTATCTTGTACATTTTTAAAATCCATTACATGGCGTATTGTTAAATTATTAATAGATGGTGTAATATATAGTATAAACAATAAAAAAATAATAATAAATAAAAACAATATCGTCATAATCCATAAGAATTTTAAATTTCTTCTATTTGTATAATTCATTTATACTTAATTTATTTAAAATGTACAGAATTAAAAAAAAATAGATTGGGCTTTCCACCTAATATAAAAGTCATATTTAATATAATGAATTGTAAAATGGAACAAGTTGTTATTATCATAAGTCATAACAACAGTTATTCTACATCACTCATTCTCGACCAAAGTATATTACCTATATATATTTCTGTGTATCAATACTATGTGTATTACTTAAAAGCAATTTAATGTAGTAGGTATGTAAAAAATTAGTGATATTTTCGATTTAAACTGTCTAAGTGAACGGTAACCAGGCGCAGAAAAAGAAATTGGTGTTAATCCTGTGGTCTACTATGGATGGTTTTGCGTGATAATGGTCAAAAGTTTTGAAGCCTACAATATTAAGAAAACATAAAATGTTACAATATAACATCAGGTATGATAAACTTTTATTTTTAGAAACAGTCGTTGATATACCAGTCTGTTTTGCTCAAATTAGTTTTTCATACTTACCTTCTCAATAACTATAATTATGATTGAATTCAAACTTAATATATCTATTTCAGTGATCTATTCAATAGGTAAGTAGGTAATTTAAAGGTTAATATACTCAATATATAGATACTTAGGTGCCTACAATTAGTACCTAGCTCCGATTCGAATAAATTTAAGTGAAGCAAAATTAAAATATTTTGGTAAATGGATTATGAAATAATATGTTGTCTACCTCTAAAAACTAATAAATTTAATTATTTGGTATAGATATTATGTAATGTAAAAACAAAAACATATATACAAATAGAACCATTCGTTCTCTTTATTATATGAAGCGATCGCTTTTGTTCATGTATAGGTTCGGCGCCACTGCCAACAATGCAACAGAAGCGAGTTTATGGTTTTTTTTTTTTTTTTAAATTGAATTATTAAGTAGGTAAATTAAAGAAATAGAGGGGTGGTAGGGTAATAATAATTAAATATTAGGGTTTTTGTTTAAGGTTTTAAATATTTAAATACCTACAAAATCGCTCTTGATAACTGTTTATATTTTAAACAGATATATTTTTTAATTTGTATTTATTTATTTATAGTATATAGGTATTTTATAGACTTATATAATAGTATATAATTTGATTTATATAACAATAAATACAAATATAATGAAACAAACAAATCATCAATCTTTATCACGATGTATTGATATCTGAAATACGTCGATTGTTGAGTTATAGAAGTTTTCCAATTACCTACTTATTATTATTTCCAAATTGTTGATTTTACGTGACAAACAAACGAACCATTCTTCAAAAGACCGATACTGAGGAATCCAGAAAAAGTAGATAAATATTGGTAAACAAAAATGTTTGTATTCAGCCACATGCGGTTACTATGGTCTATATGATGTCGTCATTCTCTAAAATAACGATTACTTATGTTTGGGAAAATAACTGAAAATAGGTCTCCTCTATAGATGTTTTAAACACTTTTTAGTTTTTTCACGAGAACGTGAAATATTTAGGTCGTTAATTAAAAAAATCATAAGAGAACTTAAATTTTCTCCACAGGTATAGTTAGTATACTTATCTCCTTTTTAATCGTGCAGAGCAGTAGTCAGTTAGTATTTAGTAAAATTAATGTTCAAGTAAAATACACCAAAACCTCATCGCTACTATTTCTACAAATGGAAAACGAATTTGTTTTTAATTAAATGATATGATATTAATTATATAGCTGCTTAATTTAAATAGAATTCGAGTTAGTTTTCTGCATTCCACATTGTTATCCTAAAAACCATATAAGTGTTTTACTGCATATCCTTTTATTTAACATGACTTCCTACATAATATAATGGTAGATAATATTATTAATAAATGCGCAATAAATGTGTAAAATAAAATAGATTTATTTTATGTGAGATGAATATTACACAAACACACACACACATACCCACAATCATATTTATACTTTTTGGGATAATTTTAATGGATTCATAGATAGTAAAAAGCCTATAAAGTGTATTTAAAGAAATTAATAAATAATATCGTTTATATATTTTTTTCTAAAATAAAATTTAAATTGTTTTAAACTGAAACAAAATTATATGTTCCATCTATGCATAGCTGTATGACTTCATTGTTAATAAATAACAAGCATTAAATAAACTATTAAATATTATTACATAAAATAGTATACATATCAGTGGTTTGATTTATGATTTCGTCTTTAGAGAGGAGAGGATGATATGTATTTATTTAGATAAACCAGAGCTCATTGACTAACACAACTACTCAACTTACTCGGACTCCCCGGGTGCATAGGTATATCTCATTACTCATTAGGTACCTATGAATATAGTAAATATGTACTATTGAAACAAAATAATATACCTATTTCCTTAAAGTATTAATTTATTATTATAGTTTTAATTTGTATTCAATGCTTTTTCAAAAATTATGTGTTATTGACATTTAAATATTATTACTTATATTAGTTTATTATTATAGGTAACTATTACCTAGACAATAAACATAATATAGCCATAACTCGTAGTCATTAACATAACATATCTTGTACACAAAGTTCAATTTTATATTTTTAGACCTAAGTCATAAATTATCTGTCATAATTTTAATATTCCAGTGACATGTTTAAAGTCCAATTTATTTAGTCTATTCTCACCTTTGTGCGAAATCGTTCGATTAGTTAGGCTATAGCTATTATAATAGATATTGTTGCACCTACTTTAATATTTCACATATTAATTTATTGTGGTAATATATAGTGTAAACATACAAAATATCTTATGCTTATTTTTTTAAAATTAACATTGGACATTTGAGCATTAATTATTATTATTTGAATTATTTGACATTAGTCGTCACTCGTTTAGTTAAAAAAATTAAACGCCAACATGGATACAACTATACTAGTATTTTCTGCATCATAGAAATATAACTGCATCCATATTTGTTCATAAGCGAATATTTTTTTACAATACAAAAATTATTTTTTAAATTAAACTCAAGATGCGTGATCCATTCCTTATATTCTCCTACCTCGTAAAAATGACACTGGTACAAATATAGTCATCAATACTATAATAATATATACGTGCGTGATCATTTACGGTGATAGGACGTGTATAGCTGGTTACTGTGCTGGTATATAAATATACACACCTAAATATATTCGGTTTCTGTAAAAGTTACGTGAACAATAAATTTTATTATAGGCATGCTGTAGTTAATGAAAATATTTAAACCTCAAAGTTAAAAACCACTGTTGGTGAATGGTAAAGTATTCAAGCTAAGTTTTATTCTGCAACAACGAAAAAATGTTACAGTGTTTCATTATTTCGAGTGGCTCTTTTTACATTATGCCACACAGCAAAACTGATTCAAACAGCCATAAAAAAAGTCCATTCGAGTTTTTAAACAGGTATTATTAATATCGTCGAGGGGATATAAAGTGGGTATTTAATGTCTTTTTTTCTCAAACAAACCTTCATAAAGAACGAATGGAATGATACAAAAATGTGCCAATTCCAATTTTTCGTAGACTCCATAAATGCAAAATGTCCCGTAATGAATTAAGTTTGGAAATATTTTCACGACGAATGAAAATAATTCTTCATTAAATATATAGTATATATAATATCAGTGGTATATTATAATTTATAGATACATTTAACATACGTATTATATATGACCAATCTGTGATCTATGATTTATAAATAAAAATAGAATGAGTATTATTAAATTGTAAAGTTTTCTAAGATCTTAAATTGTATTTTACAATATTATGAAGATCTATATACAGTAATAAGTCGCTTTAATATAACTTGAAAAATGGATAATTCTATTGATTAATGATTCTGATTAAATAAAAAATGTTTATTTTTATTTTTCT